ATTATTACAAAAACCATAATTTTGTTTTTTTCAAATCTTTTTGTATTTTAACCTCTTTACATTTTTCTCTGAGTTTATAAAATGTAAAAACTATTCTAGGTCATATTCCTAAAGTTCTGCATGATTTCTAACCATAAATGCTGCACTCCTATGAGGGCTATTACTGGGTCTAATTACTCCTAAATCTAGTAATTCTTTAATCTGTGTTCTAAATTCTTCTATATCTGCTGGCGTATGATCTATTTGTGCTAAGGTAATCCTATAATCTGTATTTTTTATATCTAAACTGGCTATAATTTTATTTCTCTCCCAATATTTCATGGGTTGTTCTCCTAAAATCTCTGTTGTTTCAGCTAATCTTATTATCTCATCTAAATCATTTTCTGTTCTTCTGTATATCGGTTTTTTCTTTAGTTTTCCTATTTTTGCAAAAATTAATTCTAAGTTAACTGTTTCTTGAAAATCTTCTAAGTTCCAATAGTCTCTCTTATCTTCAAAATGAAACTCTTCAAAATCTTCTAACTCATAATTTTCTATGTCTAAATTTTCTAAAGAAGTATTTGCTATCTCATTAGGTGTATACTTTTGTGCTAGCTCGGGAAAAATATTTCTACTAGGAAAGAAAAAACTAGCGGGAATTGAATCTACTCTTATGGGACCACCATGCTTCGCACGCAACTCTGATGAATGGGCTATGGTGCTAAGGGCATATGCTGTGGGTGTATTGACAGTTCGTTTGAAGAAACTAATGTTGTTTTGGCTGATGAACATGCCGCCTTGTAAACTAAGTATGAAATTAAGTCCTAAAATGAAAGGATGGTTCTGTCGGGTATTGCCAGTCCAAACTTGGGGTAAAGGAAAGCATTCTATGTGCTGATCTTGAGAACCTAGATGATGAAAACTAATCTGTACGCCATTAATGCAATGTGTATATGTCTGTTTAGTGCCATCGGCAATACTGACTAAAGCTGGGGTTGTTAAAGCTGGGGTTGTCAAAGCTGTGCTCCATCTTGGTGGAACTACGTGTTGTTCAATGTATGATTTACTGGCTCCTGTATCTATCATGGCATCTATACTAAGAGTTTTTTCTACAAATTTAATTACACAAGAGATTTCAACTAAATTTGACTTGGGTATAACAGGATAATTAAATGGTAAATATGTATTATTTGGTTGTGCCTGAGAGTATTGACTAAAGGGAAGAGAATCAACTAGGTTGACTAATTCTAAAGAATTCATATGTTCTTCAATTAATTTATCTTTTAAAGGGTATTTAGTATGAAACTGTTTTAACTGTTGTTTAAGCTGCCTATTTTCTAATTCTAAACATTCTATGTCAAAACTAGTCTTAGTTTCTATTTCACGTATTTGAAGTTTAAGTTCTCTTATTTGTACTTCTAATTGAAGTTTAAGTTCTCTTATTTGTACTTCTAATTCTCTATTTGTTAGACGTAATTCACTGCTTTCTATACTTTGATCTCCTAAAAGCTCGCTGTTATTTCCTGATGTTATTTTATGTGTCATATTTAATTTTT